GACGACGGAGTCTCTCCGCAGGGCAGCTGACAGCTCACACCTAACACTAGCCCACAAGTGTTGCCAAAGTGCAAAAGGGACATTTAACATTACTGTCCCATACAGATTAAAAACAGAGTTGTCCTCTTTCTAATGTCAGACTATATTATGTCTTGGGCACAAAGGCAGGCTGAGTGGAAGAAAGGGGTGGAAATTACAGCACTACCAATCACTGGATCTGCTGCCATACTTAAAAAAAGAGAAACGCTTCCCACTTGTCATATGAAGCATAGCTGTGAATTCCTTCTAAGCTCTCTGTAAACCCTTTTCAAGAAAAAATTTAATTAACCTTGGTATTATTATGTTGCATAAAAGCAACATCACTGTACATTAGAGAAGAACGCAGCACTCTATTTAAGAGCAAAAATTAAAAAAAAAATGAATGTAATGAAAGTGAAGTGAATTTAACTGATACATTTAATAAAATAATAGGTGACACTTTTTTCCTGTAGTCCATCATTTTCTAACAATCTCCAGCAAATATTTTACGATGAGAACAGACATGTTTATGTGCAGTGTAAAGTGTAAACGTGTTTTGTTATTCTTTTATTGTGAACCTGCATTTTTCTACATATTGAATGTTATGCTTTTTTGCAGACTAAAACTACATTGTTTTAATTTTTCAACCAAGCTGTTGTGCTACAGTATATTCATATTATTTATATTATTCATATTATTGATTCCTTGAGGACAATTCACAAAGTACCCAGCAGTGTATAAAGTACTTCAAATTATAAGGATGTAATGTAGTTAAAATTAGCTCCACCTTTACCATCCGCAACATTATGTGATAGAATATATCAATAATCATAATCAAATAACATGATATAGCCTGATGTTACATTAAAATGAAAAATGTCATTCTGCATAATGACTAGGCTACTTTTGGTACTTCGAGTATATTTTGATGCTAATACTTTTGTACATTTATTTAGGTGAAATTCTGAATTAAGGACTTTGTATTGCTAGCTTTAAGTAAAAGATCTAACTTCTTCCACCACTGGGCACAATGCTTAATCAATTCCAGATAACTCGATGCGAATTGCGATCGATTTTTCACCCTGATATTATACTTCCTGCGCAACCTTTCCCCTTCCTTTTAGCTGAATGTGTCAGCCATGGCACCGATTGTGAGTAGTAAAACGATCAGATAAATGGTATACAGGCGATATATGTTGGCTTGTTTTGTGCATTCACAAACGTATATATAATCTGTGATTGTAAATATATGTTTCACCGGCTTTAAAGCCTGTTATTTCTCTTTATGTACTGTGTCGGCGAACACCACGTTGGGCTAACTCTTAGTGCTAACGTTAGCTAGCAGCTGTTAACCTCAAAAATCTGTTGCCAGATCTTTACATGAGTGTCAAATTATTTTAATGCATCCTGTAGCTTTTTTAAAGTGACGTGTGCTATCATGGATGATTGTATGATTTGGAGTAACGTTTACTCTTAATTTCGGTGCTAGAAAAAGCAGGTGGTCAAAAAGCACGGGGGGAAGAAGAAGAAGCAGATCCTGAAGTTCACCCTGGACTGCACTCACCCTGTCGAAGATGGCATTATGGACGCTGCAAACTTTGTGAGTAAACCAATTCATACCCAAGTGGTAACTTGTTTGTTGAATAGTCCAACACTGCTGTCAAATAAGCGGGACTGATCCCGAGTCATAGGATGTGATGCTCACAGTCAGTTTAGAAGAAAGAAGGAAACTAATCCTGTGTGAATCTGAATGGAAACTAACAAGATGTCAGCTGTTAGTGCTGGTTAGAGACTCATCTTTACACAATGCTCTTTGTTTTCAAACTCACTGGTGCATATATTTAGATCAGAATCAGGGTTGTGTATTCCAGGCATTGATGACTTTCTGTGTCCTCTCACAGGAGCAGTTCCTGCAGGAACGCATCAAGGTGAATGGCAAAGCTGGAAGCCTCGGTGGTGGTGTGGTGTCTATTGAGCGGAGCAAGAGCAAGATTGCGGTGAACTCTGAGGTCCCCTTCTCAAAGAGGTACCAGTCTCAACTCATGACTGACTGAATCGTGCTTTACCAGTTGGCTGAAATTGATATTTTTGCATATCACTGTTATGTACAAAATGCTAGTGATTCTCAACCACTGCTCTGTTTTTTCTCTCAGTCCAGAAAGATGCTCTGAGACAAAAACAGGCATCTCCAGTAGGTCTGGGCAATAAAGACTAGAAACTATAGCACAATATGTTTTTGCAATAGCAACATAAATGATAATTGGTGTAGTTTAATATTTGATAGGTGTATGCCAATGTGGCTATAAGGATATGGTTGAATAGGCATCACATCTTTGGCTAAGCAAAATGCCACATCTTGTTTGTTCCAGCTTTTATGTCTTTTATAACTGGCAAACGGCAATGTCTTCTGTATTCAAGGTGTTTGCTTACTTGTTGGTCTAACATCTGCTGTGTCCTCCACACGCAGCATCTGGCTTTTCTTGTATTCCAGTCTGTATTTGCTTGAGGTGGTGGAACAGATTGGATGTCTTTCAACGCTTCTTCCGACATAGCTTGCAAATCACAAATGTTTGATGCACATCTGATCTCTTGTAGTTGAACCATTTCCAAACAAAGGAAGAAGCTCCTTTTTTCAGAAATAAATCTTCCTCAGACATTTCCAGCGGACCAGCTCCACCTTCTGCCATGTTTGTTCTGGTTGTAGGCACATGTCAGTAGCCACGTTACAGCACAGATACATGTCATCATGCATATCATGCATATTGTGAAATGACAAATTCTTATCATGGAGTGGAATTACTCTGGTATGTTGTGGACGATACGATATGGCACAGTTGTAAAGTCTTCTTTGAAGAGGTGTTATGGGACGTTCACATGGAGTCAGATAAAACATGCCTCCCTGCTGTGTTTTTATGCAAGGGGCTGTGTTGGTCAGCGGGGTGAGGGGTTGCAAGGTAGAGTGCTTAACGTGTGTTCGACGCTGTGACAAGTTGGCGCCAGCGGTTTCAGTCAAGTTTCCATTGTATTTAGTTAGCCATGCTGCTAATGTACCCTACTTTACCATAGCGTAGATTTCTATCACCAGTGTGTTGACATTGATGGATAAAAACACTGTTTAACATCTAGTACCCTAACTAATGAAAACCCATGGGTGTCCACCTTCTGACCGTCCCCCCATATGTGCCACTGAAACGTCTTCTCTGTGGAACAGCCTCATCAGCCATTGAGAGGTTACTGTAATATTGCCATTAAATGGTATAGGTGCATTGTATCAGATACCTTTTATGAGTACAGGTATTCCAGGGTGCATCCCTAGTCAGCATTAAGCCTTTCAGAATGGAACATTAAGGTTCGGTCCAACCAGAGGAGTGGTATCTATTCGCATAGTTAGTTTTGGTTTTGTCTGTTTTGTCTTATTCTATTTCCTTTCTTTTTAAGAACCATAATTTATGGCATACACAGACATTTTTGTCACTTTTCTTTAATGAAAAATTAAATGGTAATAAAAATAAAACATTATTTTAAAGTTTTACATTTACGTCTTTCTCTCGCTTTTTTTAAACAACCCTCCAACTAAAATGAAGTGTGATATTTGTAGTTATCCAAATATAAACATGCAATAGTGTCTGTTTCGACTGAGCGCGCGGTTCTTTTTCAGTATGTCTAGTTTGTATTTGCTGTGTTTGTACATAAACATTTTATGTGTAGCCAGTGACTCCCTCTTTTTGTCCCTTTTGGGAGATTTGGATGCAGTTTCCTTTCTCCCAGGTGTTTCTGTGGGCTCCTCTGTGTTTCTTTTACATTAATTGCTTGCAATGCACGAGTGAACACGAGCCCGGTACAGACACAGCCTCTCTCGTGAGATGTTGCGCGCTGCACACTCTACGTTTTTGGTCTGTGCCACTGCATGTGCAGCGTGGACTGTTGTGCCTCTAAATCTGATTGGCACAGAATTGGAAACCTCGGGAGTGATCGGTCGGTCACCGGTCAAGGCTGATCACACTGAAAACCGGCCATTTCCAATTTCTGCTGATCGATCAGTGCGTCTCTACTTTGAGTATTTTTGCACTGGTTTTGCTACTTTTACTTAAGAAAACTAAAAAGTGTAAAGTAAAAGTATTTCTTCCACCACTGTCGGTGTGGTACTCAACACTGTACTGGGTAGATGAAATCAGAGACACTGAGCAGGGGCAGCCAGAATATGTTGTGATGGTGGCATGAGAGAAAAAGTCAAGAAGTCACCAGGTTCAAGTGATATCTGCCTCAGGAAGTATTAATTTGAATAAACTCACTTAACATTTTGAAAGTCTATACACATAGAAATACTTCATTGTGATCTCCCTGTCTGAATTAGGAACACCACCACCAGAGGGTGACTCTAGCTAGCACTTTCTTTCTGAAATGGAGCAGTGGAAAAGTCACTGGGACTTTTCGACCTTATATGAGGTTAAAATACTGTTTTGCTGTATTAAACTGTCAGTGTTGTGTTTGATGATGTTTCTAGATGTGTTTATTAAAGAATGTTAAAAGAAGTGGTCAGATGATGCATTCCTGGGAGCAGATTTCTGATGAGTAGGTTATGAAAATGACCTGCATATTGACTTGTATGCTAAAAGGTTTGTGCCTTTGTCTCCCTTCCTTTCCTCCGTTCCAGGTACTTGAAATATCTTACCAAGAAGTATCTGAAAAAGAACAACCTCAGGGACTGGTTGCGGGTCGTGGCCAACACCAAAGAGAGCTATGAGCTGCGCTACTTCCAGATCAACCAGGATGAGGAGGAGGAGGAAGAAGATTAAATGTGACACCACTTTTAATAAAAAAAAATCAAATGAGAGAAGAAAACGTTGGTATTTCTTTTATATAGTTTTGATCACTGGGCATCAGTTGCTTAAGAACATACCAAAGCTGTGAACATAACACTGGGTGCATTGTACTGGCCAGCTGTGGCTTGGTGGTCACATCTCCAGCTCCTTAATGTCCACGTTGAACTAGGCAGGATTGCTCCCACTGGTCAGGCAAACACCTGACAGGGCTCATGGGTGAATGAGTGATAAGTATAAATGCAGCCATTTACCATTTAGCTGTTTGTTTTGCTCTGTGATAGTTTTTAAAATCTGTATCAAAATCAGCACCAGCATGTCAAATTACATGAAGATACAATTGACAAGTAGATGCAGACAGGTGACAAAGGAAAAACCTGAATGAATGAGTGGAGAAAAAATTACAAATGCAGATTCTGGCATCATTTGGTGGACTTGTCCCCTTAGAGGGAAGGGTCACCATGAATCAATACAGAGCTGTTCTGAGTGATCACCTTTATCCGGTGATGAAACACCTAATGGGAGTGATCTCTTCCAGGGTGACAGTGCTTCCATCCACAGGACATGAGAGGTCACCGGATGGTTTGATGAAGATGAAAATGATGTGAATCATATGCTGTGGCCTTCAGTCACCAGGTCCAACCCAGATGAACAGCTATGGGAGATGTTGGAGCAACATGTCAGACAGCGTCTCCACCACTGTCATCAAAAATGAGAATATCTTATGGAAGAATGGTGTTCATCCCTCAGAAATGGGAAGAATTAATGCTAGGGGGCACTGAAGCTGTCCTGGTGCCACGTGGTGGCCCAGCACCTCACTGAGACACTATGACAGTAAGAAAAGATGCCAACCTTCTCCACATTGTCTCAGATAACCCGAGTAAGGCTGGAATGCTGAAATGCCTTGGTGTATTTTTAAGATGGTAGTCCATATTTCTTAAAGGCCTTTGATCATTAACCATCCACTTCACTGCCTGAAATTGATTTTTTTTGTGCCACATCCTAAACATAGATAAAGACAGAGCTATTCGTTGGCTTCTTTATTTTCCTCTTCAAGAGCACCAGTGGTGGTGAGGGATGACGGACAGCTGGTCTGAGCGATTTTTCTGATACCTCAGACACGTCATCTGTTCATGCATTATGCTAATAAACAAAAAGAGATATCAGTATGGCTGGATTGAAGGAGGCTGCTACCTGAATAATGCAGCACAGTTCAACAGCAGCACAAGCTACAGCTTCCCTCCAGAATGATCATGCATTTGGGTCAACACCTCTCTGAATCAGTTTGACCAAGAGCTGAACATTACTAACCTCGTGAAGGAGGATTTATTACAGGGCTGTTGTGTTAGATTGCATTAGTTTTATCTTGGTGTGTATCTGGAGCGTAATTAATAAATGAGCTAGAGTTAGTAGTTTTATCTTGGTGTGTATCTGGAGCATAATTAATAAATGAGCTAGAGCTAGGTGCTGTTTGAGATGACCACAGTGAAGACTCCATGAGAGCAATCAGGACACTTGCACCTCTTGATTTGTGTGTTTTGTTACATTAGGTGAAGCTGAAACTCTTACTGTCTGTGGTGAGCTCTCTGTGGGGCACCCTGTGTTGCAGCTGTGGTAACCTTGACAACAGTTAGACCACTGGCAGTCAGGACTCTTCTCCCAGCATGCAGTCATCACACAGCACTTGGGTTTTTTTTGTCAGGAAAAAGAGGAAGTTAGAAAACATGTTCTGCCCATCAAATAAAAGTGTGATTATTCATTGGTATCAACATTTTACCTTCATTATTTGCAGCCCAAATGTGTTATTATTTTTTCCTTAGACAGATTTCATATATGGAGTAAAGGTTAGTGCACATTAAAGCAGCTGTGCCAGAAAGCAGCTGAAGTTTCTGTGTCAATCCTCCAGACTTCCAGAAGGAAATGGGCAGGCGACAGGCGCGGGAGCATCCCCGCGTATTAGCGGCACTTGGCGATGCCGCACGGTGCGTTTTTTGCACACTACTAGTTGAAGTGGTAACTAGGAGAGCATGACTAACTAGTTGTGGGTGAAATTATGGGATGTATCGTCATGGCAACAGACCAGACGTCACAATCTGGGCATGTGTGTTCCATTTTTGTCTTTCTTATTTTTCAGACTGGAAGACCTGGATAGAGATCAGTGGAAATAAATATTAATGTCTTTTTTATTTTTTGTTTTTGTTACTCCCGGAGAGAAAGCCCAAGATTCACTGCAAAAAAATTAAAATAATAAAATTAACTGAGCGACGAACACATTTCTTTTTGGGTGAAGAAAGAGACTGGGCTGCGGCGCCTGGAGGGTTAACTTTCAGTATTCTCAGCCTAAAAGGGGTTTGGGGGCTATGAGATAAAGATGCCGGGGTCGCTGAGTAATGAAGACGAGGGACAAGACGACATGGATTTTGAAGACGATATGCCAGGTGAGGGAAAGGGGGGAGGCGGGGTGTCCTTCAGATTATTTTGCGCCGCTACGCCTTGAATGCGGGGAAAAGGGCTTGTCCTGCGTTCCCGAGACCAGAGAGGAGGAGGGGTGGGGTGCCATAAGCAGAGTCATGCTTTTATTTCTTACACGACTCAGTCTTTAAGGTGGGAACGGCTTTTTAGTTTTTTATTTGGCTCCGGCCGTCCTCACAGCCTGATTTAGGGGCACGATGAAAACCCTGCTGCATGACTTCTATAGGCTGTGCGTTTTTTCTTTCACAGGCTGCATGCGTGTACAAGTGAACGGCTTAACCTTAAGTCCAAAAGCACAAAGTCTGGGACAGAAAGCTCTTCAGAACCATGATAATTAATTGGGCATTGTTTCCGTCTGCTGCTGTTATGATTTCTGTACTCAGTTAACGTGTATGTGCATTTAAGAAGAAGTGGGCAGCAGTGACAACATCCGTGTTTTGTAGAAGATGCACTGTGTCCACTCGTGATCAGGAGCCTGCTCCAACTTAAAGGTCTCCCCGGAAAGAACTGAGTGGCAGCAGTGGTGTGAAAGCCACATGTAGCTAGGCTACAGTAAACAATGCCTTTCAGGTGTGCTCTGTTGCTTTGGTCCTAAGCACTGTTGATGGCCTTAGGTCACCAACATCCCTTCAGCTTCAGGTTGTGTAATTAACTGTAACCCACATTCTTGACATGCAGCTCAAAGACTGTTCACATTGTGGCTTCAGTCAAGCCAAATCTGTGCAGTTTTTATAGTGACTGGAAAATTAATTTGTCTGCCACCCTGGAAATGAACCAGCAGTAGAGCACATGCCATTTTCTTTCCTTAAAAATAAAGTCACAGAGGAAAAGATTAAGCACCTGTAAGCAAGACGCCACTTGTGAAATTATGGCCTTTTGGTTTTCTTTTTGTGGATTTGTAAGCTGATTCTCTTTCCTAAAAACTGTGTTAAACTACATGGTGAAACCTGGGTAGTGATGAGCTATGTTGTCACTGCTGCATGGTGACATTGTTCCTTTGCTGATTAGGTAAAACAGTGGTGGGGTATGGTTCATAGCTGCATTGACTTGTACCTAAAAAGCTAACTGGGGTGTCTGTCATGTGCAGCCAGGAGCCAGCTTGATCAAAATCTACATCTGTCTCAGTCAAACCAGGTCCTAATCTGATCTGTTTCCTGGTCCAGTGTGTCAGGGGCTGAGGGGGCCCTGCTGTTGCATCCTACTGGGCACAAGAGGCAGGCATCTGTATAATATTGTGTCAGTTTGTGCAGTGCAGCTAATACATTTATATTTTCCTGACTCCTGTAGCTTGCTCTGAGCAGCAGATTTGATTTGCTAGTTTGGTGTCAAGACTAAGCCAAAAGATTTACCCTTAATGTCACTTTCAGTCACATGTGGAAAAGCTCTGGTGCTGCTTATAAATAATACCGAGTCTGAAAGGAAGGTTTGAGAGAGTAAAAATCCAGTGCAGTGTAGGCCAGCCTCTAATTAAGTGTTCCTGAAAGATACAGTGCTACATGGTATACATAAGAGAACTTTTTGTTCAAATTTATTAAAAATCAAAACCTGAAATCTGTCAAGTACCAGAGTCTTCTTGAGTAGGTCTCTACAAGTGTTGCACACCCGGATTTGGGCAGTTTATCCCATTCTTCCAGCTCTGCTAAGTAAGATGGAAAGCGTCTATGAACATCCATCTTCACGTCCCTCCACAGATGTTCTATGGAGTTTAAGTCTGGGCTTTGGCCACCCAAGGACAGTCAGACCCAGAGCCCCCCCAGGTTTGTCTTGGCAGTGTGTTTCAGGTCATTGCTATGCAGACAGGTGAACCATTGCCCCAGTCTCGGGACGTGTGCATGCTGGAACTGGTTTTTCTTCAATGACCACTGTTTTTGGCTGCATTCATTCTTCCCTTAGTTTGGACCAGTCTCCCTGACCCTGCTGCTGTAAAGCCCCCCATAGCCCCCCCATAGCATGATGCTGCCCTCACCATACTTCACCATATGGTATTAACTAAGTGACGAGCAGTGCCTGGTGTTTGCTAGACATAGTGCTTGGAGTTGAATTCTTGTATCATAAGACCAAAGAATCTTTTCCCTTGTTTTTAGGGTGCTTTAAATATTATTTGACCAATTCCAAGTGGGCTTTAATCTGCCTTTAAACCAAAGTGTCTTCCATCTCGCCACTCTAGGCCTGATTGATGGAGTGTTGTTGACATGGCTTTCTGTCTACAGATGACTACTGAAGCTCTGTTTGAATGAGCCCTGTTTTACAACTTTGGCCTGATCTGTGCTTCACTGCAAAATTTTATCATGGGCAAATCAGTGGACCTTGTATTCACAGGGGTGTGCCTTTCAAAACTATGTCTCGTCTGTTCAGTTTGCCACAGGTGGACACCAGTCAGGTTCTAGACATATCTCAACAATGATTAAAGCAAACAGTGTAGACTGATGGGCAGGTTTATTCATTTAAAATTATATCTGCAACAAAATAAACCAAAAGTGAAGCCTGAAAGTCTGAATAGTTTCTGATGTCTCCGCTGGACAGGTTTTATAAATTGCCTTTGCGTGTTGGAATAATGTTGAGCTGTGGGATCAGCATTATTTGTGACAATGCCTTGTACATTAAACTAACACATTTTTTATTTATACACAATATTGTTGATAAGCCAGAATAATACCTGAAAGCTTCCGTGTGAAGGTGTGCAGCAAGGAAAGAAAAGAAGAGATGGAAGGGGAGAAACAGAGCTGTCGAGCAGTTGAGGCATCATCTATGACTGGCAGCCATAGCCTGAGGGAAAACACAAGCACTGGTGCATGTCCCCAATAACCCAGTAGTTGGTTAAACATGTATGAAGAAGGAAAGGTACAACTGGTATGGCAGGCAAGTGAAGATATGAGAGTTGTGATGCAGTTTGCAAAATCAAAAGATTTTCATGTGTCAGTTGAAATAGCTTTATGTGTGCCTTGATGTAATTTTAGATTTTTATGTTGTTAGCTTCAAACGTATCAAAGGAACTCTTTTAAAATTGTAATCCCTTATGACAACGCACAATGTAGTGAAGGGTAGACATATAGAAAATTAGACAAATTTGTATTAATGTCTTAATGAAGCTTTTTGTTGATTAAGTAAGATCCTCATTCCGTTCTGACAGTATTACTGTTTCTTAGCAGCTGTTTTTGGCAGTTTTTCAGTTTTTATCTTCATGTAACACTCACCAAAATAAAGTGGCGCAAATCCATTGTTATGCTGTCGATAAGGAATAGTTTTCACACAGTTTTTGACCCCCAGACATCAAAGTGACAGACAAGGTCAGAAATCCAGGTCAGATTTTTCCCGGCATCAAGATGCTCCCATGCAACGGAAACACAAAAATGCAGAAGCACATCCTGAATGTTATCCTATCACAGCCTTCATTTGTTGTGGCACATAAAGTCTCCTAATTCCCTTTGTTTCACTCCGGGTGCTTACACTGTCACAGATTGTTCCACTGTGTTTTCTGTTTTAATTGTTTTGTTCTTCCCTAAAATTGAAAGATTATCATGGGATTTTATGTGCCTACAAATGTTATCCCCAATTGGAAAGGGGTCTATTTTTGTATCCCTCGCTGTGAAAGTTGACACCATTTTTCCCTGCTGCACGTGCACGTAGCCAAAGCTTGAAAGATGCCTTTTTTTTTTAAATGTGTATTTGCAGATGAGCGGTGCTGCATTCTGGTCTGTTCTATGTCTGCCTTATATGCACACATTGTGATGTTGTGCATTCATATACAGTATAATATATGTGATTTTAATGGTTCTCTATCCTTCCATCACTTTGATGATTACATTTTCTAATAATAGTCTATGGATGTCTTTGTCTGAAGGCGTTTGGGGCCTGAGTTATAAGCACTTAATCAATGAAGAAAGGAAACCCTTTGGCTCCGTCTTTCCTCCTCAGTGGCAGGCACTGCTGGGCAACATTAAGTGGGTGTTTCCACACAAGGGGCCAGCAGAGAAAGGGCTAATGCGCTTTCCAGTAAACTCTAGCTTATGTACTTGGGATTTTCTCATGAATCTCCCTTCTAATGGATCAGTCCAGTGGCCAAGCCCTTGTATGACGGTCAGAACTGTCTGTGGCATCCATCCACACTTTACAGAAAACCCGTTTGCCAAGTGAAGCTTTGGTCCTCTTTTAGTGCCATCCTTCCCTGTGCCACATGACTGAGCGACCTTCCCCCTTCCAACACCTGGCACAGCCCGGTCCACTCACCAAGCAGAAAGATAATCTTTCCCCTGATGACTTTGCCTTCAGGGACTTCACAGGCCATTAACTGCAGGCAGGGTTAGGACTGCAAGACAGTGCAGGTGTTAAACACAGACTTTTTCAGTGAACCAGGCTGCTGTCATACCCTCATATGAAAAGTTTCTGGACAGGCAATTTGTTCAGTACTTTTTAAAATAAGACTAAGTGTCTACAGCTATGCTAGCAGCTCTGTGAGGCTGTAGATTAGGCACAGCAGGGCTTTTAACTAAATGCTAACAACAGCAAGCTGCCATGCCCGTAATGAAAATGCTAACATGCTGATATGAAATTTACCTATATTCACTATCAAATTTTAGTGTGTTAACATACCAGTATTTTCTAATGAAGACTAAACACTGAGGAAGATAGGCATGGCTCCTGTCATAAACCATGTGAGAAAATATAAAAATTGGATCAGGTTATGGTTCTGAAGGAAAAGGGAATCATCACAGTCATTACAGCTGTCTTTGACATGAATATTTGTACAAGATTTCATGGCAATCCATCCAGTAGTTGTCGAGATATTTCACTCAAAACTATAAATGCCAGGCTTGTGGTCCATCCAGTAGTTGTCGAGATATTTCAAAACTATAAATGCCAGGCTCGTGCTCACACATGACAAAAAGTCAGACGCTCACCAAAGTCAGTAGGACACAACATTTGGTAACCATGAATGTTTGTGCAAAAATCTGTGCCAATCCATCTGGTAGATGTTGAGATATTTCAGTCTGGAACAAAGTGTTGTGACAGACCGACATTGCCATCCCTCGGGCCACACCTGTATCATGGCTAAAAGATCACCTAGTTCAGTCTGCTCATGTGCATGTAAGTGAACTTTTAAACCCTACATCAGTAATATCACATCACAGCTGTCAAGTTTGAGTGATTTATTGCACAGGAAGCAGAGCTAGGGACACGCAGTCTGGCATCATCCGGTGCATCTAATCAGTGATGTGTGGTCAAGCTGACAGTCAAGAGTTCATAGAAAGAAAGAGGGACGGACTGTGAGCTTTCTGTAATCCAGCACCATCTCCGTCTGAGCCATGTCATTATCTTTGTATCTAAGAGAGATTCAAGCTTTGCTGTGTTGCCAGCAGGCTGCTAGCATACATCTGAGACATAAAAGAGCTCCTTGTTTGAGCTGCTGAATACATAAACTCAAGGCTTTATTTAGAAAGAGACAAATAAAGGGGAGATAAGCATGTGAGTCTGTGCTTGAGAGAGAAAGAAAGAATGAGCAAGCAAAGCAGCAAAATACCAGTTAGATAGATAGATAATATTGAACATTCTATTGACCACCCTGTCTTTATCAGCTGACCACTTTCAAATTGTTTAATTTAGCCAGATGTCTGTAGAGGTTTAAAGGCCTTTTATTACAAATTTAAAATTCAAAGCAGTTTGCTTCCATTTCTACATGACAATTGTAATATTTTAAGGAAGCTGTTCAGTCAACAATGTTGTCAGTCAGCAGATCTCCTATAAAAATGTATCTGGTGGTCAGAGGTAATGCAACAAGCCGGATTTCCTCTGATCAAAGCGTTGAAGTAGTGTATGTGTGTGCATGGGGTACCTCCTGCTAGTTTTGCTAAATAGAGGATAAGTGGTTGGCAAGGTTTGTGTGTCTACTACACAGGAATCCCTCCTCCCCAATCTCTCACTCCAGCTACCCAGGGGAGTGGTAGACTGCAGGGCTAGTGTTGGCTGATTGACTCTGATACATGTGCTGCATATTTTATGCCCTCCGGTCTGTCTGTATGAGATATCGAGAGCGAAGGTGACACGCAGACAGATAGAGCAAAAGAGACAGAAAGACAGTCGGAGACACCGAGGGAGAGCAAGCTCAGATCAACCTTTACAGGCCGGTTGCATCCTGTGTGTATTTCTCTGCGTGTCTCTTTATAGTGATGTAGTGTCTCCCTTACTTACTCCTCTGCGACCCACTATGGCATCAGTGAAGTCTGCTGTGCTCAGCAGTCAGCGCGGTTTACCCAGCAGCTTTGAGACAGTACAGCTGACAACCAGCAGCAGGTTGCTTTAGTCCCAGCAAGCATTAAAGGCAGAAGATATGCTCAGTATACCTCAGTGGTCCTCCAGGGAGTTCCCATTTAGCAGCAGGGCAGGCACTCCATCTATTTGTGCTTTGACGGGTAAAGTTGATCCACACTCAATGATGTGTGATGATGAGGTTTATTTTGCAGAGTGCTCCTGTTGGTCTGACACAATTCATCATTTTTATTTTCAGAAACAGGCTTACTGACTTTTCATTTGCTGTAATTTCGCTGGATACCAGACATGCAAATAATAATTATTTGCATTATGGATTTATTGCTATTTTTCTATCTTTTTAATCAGTTATCAGAATTGTCGCACTAATCAGTTCAGCACTACAGTGTAGAATCCAAAGTGCATTGGTCACTATAAATATTCATGCTCATTACATGCTGAATTGGCTGCAGTCTCTGCGTTACTAAGCAGATAATGTTTGTGTGTCTGTGTGTCCAGACGAGGATGATGAAGGTGAGCGCAACACTGTTCCCCTCACAGCCCTCACCCGCTTCTTCTCTGATGATGACTCCCTCGAACAACAAAAGAAGAAAAAGCCCAAAAAGATGAAAGAAGGGAAAATACCCAAAGTTAAGAAGAGGAAAAAGGAGGTAAGGTGTAATTCTCACTCTGCACCACCCGTCATGACCTCGGACACAACAACTTGGCAGGCATTTTGGATCAGGCTGAACTCCACGTTCTCTATTTCTCACCCCATCGCTCATTTGATGTCTCTGCAATTGGATCAAAGGTGTGTTTTGGCTGCTGGGCTGCCTCTGTAATCTAAATGAGAGGCAGCGGACTGTCTCAGGCCTAGGGGAGCTTGGCAGCAGTATCACCGTCATTGCCAGCATAATCTGTGAGCACCAAATGCCTGTTAGAGTGTAGATTTGTGCCTGTGGTGGTGGTGCTGATGGCAGGGACTGTGGGTCAGAAGTCCAGCATTTGTGTCCAGCTACCAGTGGGAGACAGAGCAGCTTTGACAGCAGAGTTTCTCCAGCCTTTAGTCTAGAACAATTAGACAACAGGTCATAAGTTTGAATTGCTCTTGGCATGAATATTAGTAACTTAACGTAACCAGATTTGTGATGTTAGAATCACTAATCAAGCTGGCCTTACTTCTGTTGAACAGCAGCCACTGTGGTCACGATGTTGCAAAGGATTCATAAAATCACCATATTGACTCAGTATTGTTATCTAAAATTAGCTAGCATTAGCTATCACCAGTCAGGCCATTAAATCCCAGTGTGTGTCTTATTGAGCAAGGATGTATTTCATTGTTAATGAATTCTTTCTTTAGAGGAATACATATGGGTTCACCGTATTTGCCATGCTGTCAAAGTCAAGCCATAACAAACTGCTAATGCGAACCTGTTAGCAAACAGCTACCACATTAGAAGTCACTTTGAGCCATGTTTCTAGCCACTTGAGGAATGTTAGTCCATCATTCTCTTAATTTTTAGTTCTGTTTTGGTCTCCATCAACATCTGAGGGAAACATCAGGCTGTCTGTATATGCTCACCATGTGTTCGCTGTCATTTGGTGATGGGCAGGGAGTGTACAGGTAGGCAGCACCGTTTTTACAGAAAAAAAAACTGCCTGCTATAGAAGGAAACAGTCTCCTGAAGTATGTTTCCTCTTTACCTGAACCAAACCCTAGCCCCAATCAGTCATCTCTCTGACTAACCATAAATTACCTCAAGGCAACGGGGAGAAAATATCTTATCAAGTCTGAAATAATCAGGTCTTAGAATCTAATGAGTTAATATAATGTATAACACTGGAAAAACATAACAGCTGACAAGAGCTGCATTTTCATGATCATTTCCTATGGTTCATCACTGACAGCTTTTATATTATACATATATTGATCCACAGTTAATATAAAATATTGATTAATGCAGCTTTAAAGGTACTCAGCATCTCAAGAAGTCAACTCTCCGGTTGCTATAAAAAGCCTCATCTTCACTGTTCCTGACATTTTTGCCAAACTTAGATGCTCTGATAAATGTTTCTTGTAGATACAAGAATTCCCAGTATTCCCAGTATTCCCAGGGTGTTTCCTGCCTGCGATGGCTTTAACAGTGTCAATGACATATTCAGGATGTACCCCTCTGCTGGCTGGAGATGCCAGCAGCGCTGTGAAGAGCTTGGCTGGCCAGGCTGCCACCCGGCCCTTTGGCTGCTTGTGGTAAACACTGAGCTCTGGGTCTCACTGAGCTAATGAGGGGGGACTCCCTCTGACACTCTCCTCGCTCAGACACAGACTCTCCTCTGTATTCTCCTCTTTCTTCCCTCTGCTCTCGTCTCTCACACACATCACTTTGCCTTGTGCATGACGCGGCTTTCTGTCTTTCTTTCTTTCTTTCTTTCTTTCTTTCTTGCCCTCCCACTGAGGAACTGCTGTTGCTGTAATTCACTTCCAATCGCTCCTTAAACATTGATGTCAGACAAGGGCCAAAAGTCATTTGGGGTCAGACACCGTCAGTGGCACATCCCAGTCTCAGGTCAGAGCTACTGGCAGCAGAAATGGTAACCAGAGAGAGATATACTTGTCTTCTCCATTCATCTGCAGAGAAACAAATGACATGAAGGGGTATTCAGTTTGTTTTCCAAAAAACAAAATCTACATACAGGAGTCTGAGTTTATAGAAAGTAGTTATCAAAAAAAAGAAACATTGCAATAAAGAGTAAAGCTGTCAGGGAGCTTTTTTTTAGCTTTAAGATTTTGCTGAAATTGTTGGTTTGATATGAACCTTTGTTTTGTCCTGATTTCTGGAGTAAGGAATATGCTGTTGTTTCAGTGTTTTTTAAGGCAGTATTCTTTTTCTTATTGAACTAGATTTCATTGTGTATCCACTTCTTCACTCAGTTGATATTTTCTGTGGCATCATCTGCAATCTCCCTAAGGCAGAGCCATAATGGGGAAACATCTAATTTGATTAGGTTATTAGCGCTTATCTGATTTTCTTCCCTCTGAAAGTAGAGACACCCTCTTTGTTGCTGCCAGTGTCCTCTTTGGTCCTATGATGTATATATAACATTGAACTTTGAGCCACGATGAGGCTGTGTCTCAGCTCTACTGTGTCTTTGCAGTTGCTCCTAACAGTGGTTCTGCTTCTTTGCTTTTTTGTCCTCCACCTCCACCCCCGCTCCCATCCCCCATCCACAATCTTCAATTTACAATTCTCTCTTCTTCTTCTTATGCATAAATGAGATTTGTCTAGACTGGTGCTGGAGCACCAGCTCTGCAACCACAGGCTTCTGCATAACAAGCTCGTTATGGATTGGATTGCACTGTTCCATTGGCTGCCACTGTGATAAAGTGTGTGTGTGTGTGAGTGTGTGGGGATGTGGTGGTGGAGGGGGTTTGGGGGCGAGTGGGGGGTGTCAGGATAGAAAGAAAGACTGCGAGAGAGAGAGAATGGGGGACCACTTGAGAGAGAGCGAGAGAGTGACAGTGAAAAAATAATCAGGTGATGGGGGGCTATGAGATGTGAAGGAGAGAAAGTGAGAGAAAAAGGAAGGCGTTGGGGGGTTGGGGGTGAGCAATGATAAAGACAGAGAAAACTAGGAGGAGAGAGACGGAGAAAGAGAGTAGAGCCAGACACTGCTCAAATTTGGTCACCATGGCAACACTGCCAGGCTGCTAGTAGGGTTGGCGGGCGCTGCGGCAACGTGAGCCTTTCCTCTGCGCTACAGAGCAAAACGCCTGCAAGTCTCTCCATGGTTCCACACAGGCCTGCTGTGCAACAGGCAGTGAGCAGACCACAAAGCTGCTGTGCACTAATTCACTCCTTAGCCCGTGGACACACATGTTAACACATACTGTAGATACACACATACTGTATGTGCACCCATTCAAAGACATACACACACAAAGGGAGAGAGAGATTAATTATCACACTCTCACAAACCAATATACATGTGTACTCATATCAAGGCACATGCATAGAAATGCACACATACATTCAACTCTCAAAAATGTTTCTCTACCTTTAATGAAAGAGAGAGAAACACACCCATTCAAAATGTACATAGACACATATACACAAATGAAGATGAACACGCACACTGGCTCACACATACTACGCACACAGGCACATTATCAATTAGGTGAGAGGTGCATAATGAGAGAAACACCAGTCACTTCTCCCTCTCTCTTACACACACATACTATCCTGAGCAGGCACCAGTCAAATTTGCTCATTTGCAACACAAACATCACCTGTTAACTGTGAAATTCATATAGCCCTGCAGATGTCTCATATTAAAGAGGCAGGATGCAGATCAGCTCTGAGCTGTGATTGGCTGTGCCAGCTGAGGTGTTCTGTTTCTTGGTTTAGTTTGTTGCCGAAGCACGTGTAATAGGTGAACGTGCTTCTGACTTGACTCCTCATCAACCCCTTAGCTGCTGACATACAAGGTATATAGTTCATCACAGGCAAAATAAGTATAAAATAAGTAAAGCAGTGACACTTTGGGGCGATGTGATTTTTTGTGTGGGTGGCCTCTGTGAGAGCTCTAATCCCTAACCCTGGCAAAATTAATGTAATGCTCATTTGTCCCGTCACTGAGTTTTATGTTTTAATTACTAGATTTTAACTTCAGATAGATCTCATCTGTCATGCCAGTGGCAAAATGTAGGACTTAGACTCAGCTGCGACTCAGGAATCTGGCTTCAGTCGTAAGATAGAAAGCTGAAGGAAGAGTTAAAGCTAGGTTCTACCAGTTTGTAGTTGTAATGGTGAAGTTTTCATCTTTATCTGCTGGAAAATGACCCAGAGCAGTGAAAGGCAAATAACTTTCAGTATCCCCATGTCCTGCTACTGATTAATAGATAAACAAGTGTTGTTTTATCTGTTCATGTACACAGTGCTTATGTGTTCCTGTGCAAATGCCTCAGGGGGGAATCCAGGCAAGAGTTGACAGCGACCTGGAGGAGACCTCAGAGGTGGAGGAGGAGCCGGAACGTCCTGAAATAGTTTCAGAGAGCGAGAGCAGCATGTATAGCCCCACCAAGAAGAAGAAGAAGAAGCCCAAGGAGAAAAAGGAGAAAAAGCCCAGGAAGAAGAAGAGAGATGAGGAAGACGATGATGACGACGACGATGATGGGAACATGAAAGCAAGTCATGACACTGACATAGAGTGTACCTTGTAGTTTACTGGGTCATGTATTTTAAATGAAAACAAAAGATTTTTCTCTGTTTCCACAAAGGGCTTCTTTGCAGGTATAGTGCCAAAGATTTGATTAGTTTCAGTAATTTAAATTGATCATGTCTTGATATGATAATCTAATAAGCATGATACATTGGATTTGTTTTGTGTTTGTCATGTACCTCGAACACATTTTACACCGAGATGACAGATAAAAAAGAAACTTATTGAATCCATAACTTTATGTCCAAATTCATAGCAAAGATCAAGCAATCAACAAACGTGTATTTGTTTTTTTCTTTAGGCAGACCGTCCTTAAAAGTGACGTGGATGGTAAATGTTTGTTAGACATTGTGTGACATATGCATGTTGACCTGTCTTATCTCTTTGACTCCAGGAGCCCAAATCATCCAGCCAGCTGATGCAGGAGTGGGGTCTCGAAGATGTTCAGTATGGCTTCACCGAGGACGACTATAAAACCATCACCAACTACAAGGCTTTCAGCCAGTTCCTCAGGCAAGCATCTGATTTTGTGTCTGGATTATCCCCCTGGTGCCATTGGTGGAGTGGTTAGCGCTGTTGACTCACACAAAAAAGGTTCCAGATTTGAACCTCGCGGCTGACCGGGGCTTTTATGAAGTTTGTATGTTTTCCCTGTGCCTGCGTGGGTTTTCTCGGGTCCTCCGGCTTCCTCCCATGGTCCAAAGACAAGTTAGGTTAATTGGAGACTCTAAATTGCCCACAGGTGGGAATGTGAGTGTGAATGGCAGTCTGATTATATGTGTCAGCCCTGTGATAGACCATCGACCTGTTCAGGAGGTACCCTGACTTTTGTCTCTTGGCTGGGATTGGCTCCAGCCCCCTTGTAACCCTCCACAGCAAAGGTGGTAGAGCTAACGGATAGATGGATTATCTTCCTGTTAAACTGCTCTGCTCTGTTTCCTTTTCTGTGGACTGTCTCTCACTGAAAGACTTCCAACAGGAACTTCACATTGAGTCTAGAGTGTGGTATGACAAGTAAACACTGCTCTTTTTATCTGAGCTTGAAAGCTCGGCTGTTGGTATAAAGAGCCTGTCTCACCTGAGGCTGTCTGGCTCGGCTAAGCCTCTGCTCCTACAAAGCATGAGCATGAGCTCCGGCAGTGCCGCTGTGAGCAGTCGGCTGCATACTGGATGCCTGTGACAGCCAGGAGGCTCTGGGACTTGGTGCTCTGACCCATTATCTTTCATAGGCCAGTGTGCTAAACCTCAAGCTGTTGCCTGACAAATCACAAACATGACATACACACAGCAAAGCAGGGAAAACAAAACTTAAAGGGCAATGGGAAGTCAGCAAATCAAGCCAGCTCCCTCCAGTGCTAGGAGAAGTAGAAGTGACATCAACAGGAATGAAGGGTGACATAACAAAGCTGCTGTCATTGTCTCCTCTCCCCCTGGTTTTTCCTCAGGCCCCTCATTGCGAAGAAGAACCCGAAGATTCCCATGTCAAAGATGATGACAGTGTTAGGGGCCAAGTGGCGTGAGTTCAGTGCCAACAACCCGTTCAAAGGCGCATCTGCCACCGCTGTGGCCGCCGCTGTGGCTGTGGAAACAGTTACCGTGACACAGCCAACGTCTGTCTGCAGCAGCCAGCTGGGCTCTCAGCTGGGGCCAATCAAAAAAGCCAAAACCAAAGAGGGAAAGGGTAAGACCTAGTCAAGTGTGTCAGGACGCATATTTTAGAAACAATACCACTCAGTGAAAGTGTCTGCTGTCTGGGTCTGTGTGTCTCAGGACAAGGCGTTAGAAAGAAGAGCAAGACTGTGAAGGAGGTGAAAAAGAAGCCGAAGCTGAAGAAGACCAAATCAAAGTCCGGACAAAGTGGGAAGAAGAAGAAAGCATCCTCGGTATGTCTATTTTTTTTTTTATTTAGCACCATTTTCCCTCACCTCATTCATCCTCTCAGCTTCTCTGCTAGTGTATATTTTAAATGACATCAAAGCAACCAGACTGTTTACTGAGCGTACTGTCAAAGATGGCTGATTTTAATTCTTTGTGTAGCTCTGAGCTCTTTAGTTTGTGTGTGCTTTTCCAGAGTGAGGAGGACTTCCTGGAGGAGTCAGACTTTGATGACATCAGCATCCACAGTGCCTCTGTGCTTTCTGATACCTCAGGGGCCACCACCAAGAAGAAAGCTCGACGTGGGCGGAAGAAAAGGAAAAGTATGTTTACTGTCTGCACTCGCCATGCTCTGTGTGTTTTACCTCTTAAGCCGCAGTGAAATTCCTCAGAAACAAACTGTTTGATTATGATTAACAACGAAATTAACGTGCTTTTTTGCTTTATTTATTTTGGGAATGTTTTCTAAATGTTCTTTCACAGCAGTGACTGTCCTCACACTCATGGAGTCTCATTCACAGTTAGAGGCCACTCTGTATAATGAGTAAATAGTTTTGTTTTCTAATTAAAGTGACTTTCTCTGTGTGGGAATTGCCCGTTTACCACTTTCTTTACCATCTCCAGAAGAGGATGGTGATGGCTATGAGACAGACCACCAGGACTACTGTGAGGTTTGCCAACAGGGTGGCGAGATCATCCTGTGTGACACCTGTCCCCGGGCCTACCACCTGGTCTGTCTGGACCCTGAGCTGGAGAAAGCCCCCGAGGGCAAATGGAGCTGTCCACACTGTGTGAGTAGATACGTTGCTGGAGGTTCATGGAGTCTTTATATGCACAGTTACTTTTTATTAAGATACACTTGCATCAAGGAACAGACCATCAGTAGTTACCCATGTGAGGGAGTTGGCAGAGAATCAAAGCAGCAGCAAAGGTTCTGCTGAGAGATCAAATCCCTCTGATTACAGCATGAATCCAGCTATACAGCTGCGAATCAGACAGTGACTATGAAGCCTACTGGAAACAGCTGATGTGTATCAGCCAGTGCAAACATGACTCCAGTGCTCTGCCCAAACTAACACTATGCTTCATAAGCAGCCATTCATTAGACGTTTTTGTGTTTGATGACAAGTCGCTTGGTACTGTGTTACAGAGCAGCCATGAGTCAGTACATGTTATATAGACTGCCATTAACATTATATTGATTGTATGCAGATTAACCAGGCGTATAACTTAAACATTTAGGATGTAACAGCAGTTTTTCATATTGTCTGTTACTTGTGAATATTTGCTGTGTCTGATTAGATGGTGACACTCAAGTTCTTATCCCATCATCACTGACTGCATGATACAGAGACATCATTTACCAAACAGTAGTATACTGTATGTCAGTTATTTTTGATTAGTACAGGTTCGGTTATAATACTTTAAATGTTACACAGTCCACATGCACAGGAATATTTGTGAGCAATATGTGAATGTATGAAGTGTTTCATAAGAATAAATGCAAAAATTGCAGAACAAATTCTGAAAAACAGATTTTGTGTAACAGAAACACTCGGTTTCTCATAATCTCTTGGATTTATCTTGTGGGTTTTGGGGACAATCACTGATCTAGGATATTGTTTACATATAGAGTAGCAGCGGTTCACTCTGTGAACTAAAATTTCCCTTGTCTTGTTACTTATCAGTGCGATGAATGTGTCTGTTGTCACTGTAAAGTCAGTGACGTCATCGTCTCCCAATGTCAATATGTTAATGTGGTTGTCTCTATAAAAATCATCTGTAAATATTTTAATGTGAACTTAATTGTTTGGTATTTAACCTTCTTCTTTAACCACTTGTGCAACCACATCTCCCAGGAGAAGGAGGGAATCCAGTGGGAGGCCAAAGATGAGGAGGAGGATGAGGAGGAGGCTGCAGGTGAGGAAGAGGATGACCACATGGAGTTTTGCAGAGTGTGTAAAGATGGAGGAGAGCTGCTATGTTGTGACACATGTCCATCTTCCTACCACATCCACTGCCTCAACCCGCCCCTCCCCGAGATACCCAACGGGGAGTGGTTGTGTCCTCGTTGCATGGTGAGTTGAGTCCAGATACTCTGTAGTAGTATTTATAGAAAAAGGTTTTAAAAATACTGTATAAAAATAATAAGTGTTGAAGTGTTAAAGCTTAAACATTTTTCAAAACTTACTTTTCTGAACTCCTAATAATAAATATACATTTTTAAAATTTCGGTCAAATGTTCCTTTTCTGGAATGATTTTACAGCAACATCAACCTGTTGTTATGACACTGTGACTATACAGAGTGGGAATATAGAATGTCTGTGCATTCAGCGACATGCTTTACATACTGCAGTATTTTGTCTGAGCACAACATGCAAGCAGTTTTTCAAAGGTGTGTTGTTACTTTGGAATTTTGGGTGTTTCTCTAACATTATGACAAACTTTAATTGTAACTTCTTCCTGATTGTGCTGTTGAATTTTAGAACCTGCTCCTTGGAAATGGTGAAACAAAAATTAAGGGCCAAACGTCAAAAATAAATCTGTACAGTAAACTTCATTTCATAATAGGATAAAATGCCAACATATGTCATAAGTGTTGGTGTGAGACAGTTTGTGAGGTGGTGGGAGAGACAGAAGTGTCAGCTTAAATGTTGTGATGGTTTGTAAAATGTGGTTTCCAAATATATATAAAAAAGCCATTTTAATCTAGTATTGCGAGCCATGAATTACTCTTAATGCAAACTAAATCTATCTATCAAACTAAATCTATGGTAAATGGTCATATACTTACGGTATATAGCACCTTTCTATGCATTGAAGAGCTTTATATTATTTCCCTTTCACATACACCAGTGATATCCCCAGGAGCATCTAGGGCTTCACTGTCTTGTTCAAGGACACTTTGACATGTGGACTGGAGAAGCTGGGAATTGAACTGTCAGTCCAAGTTATGATTCTGAATATTGCTAAGGGTTGATGTAAAGGGTCTTATAGCCTTCTATATATATATCAGCAGCTCAGGCTGTGATGGGGAAAGACGATAACACCGTTTACCATCTCTACCTCCTCTAACTCTCCCGTTGTTCCTCTGACATCCATGATTATATTTGCTGTGACACAACACCTCTCCATTTTTTTTTTAGTGCCCTCCACTGAAAGGTAAAGTACAAAAGATTCTGCACTGGACATGGGGAGAGCCCCCGTTGCCAGCTGAACTGCCCGCAGGCCCTGACGGCAAACCAAATGATCCGCTAACCAACCCTCCACTCAAGGGCCACCCAGAGAGGGAGTTCTTTGTGAAGTGGGCTGGCCTTTCATACTGGCACTGCTCCTGGGTCAGCGAACTGCAGGTGAGATACCAGAGTAGGTCCAGTCTCAAATGAACAGAGGAACTGTGTGCTCTCTTTGACAATACAGAACACACAGCATATTTTTCACTGGACCATCTTTTGCAGTTTAAAATAAAATGCAGCCGTTTAGCTGTCAGTGTTCAGGAAAGAAAATCCAAGTGCATGTTGTTTCACGTGTCACATCATTCAGAGCGCAGTTACAATTAATAAGCATTTCAGAGCACTCAAGCCTGGCTGACATTTAATTTAGTAATTAAAAAACAATTTGTTGTTCTTCAGTTTGAGTCTTGCCTTCTTTCTGTATACACAAAACAACTTTTAAAATTTATTTTGTAGCTGTCTTTCCTTTATTAAATCAATTCTGGAACTTTAAGTAGCTAATCAAATTAGTTTCTGTGGCTAGATTATACATTGCATTCTTGTAAAAAACACTCTCTTCGCTAGTGGTGCTGGATGAAACGAAGCAGAATTGATTGCTGTGCTTTGTCTGTCATTGTGCAGTTGGAGCTATATCACACGGTCATGTATCGGAACTACCAGCGTAAGAACGACATGGACGAGCCTCCGCCGTACGACTACGGCTCTGGAGAGGAGGAGCTCAACAATGAGAAGAGGAAGAGCAAAGACCCCCAGTATGCTGTGATGGAGGAGCGCTTCTACCGCTATGGCATTAAACCAGAGTGGATGGTTATCCACCGGATACTCAACCACAGGTGGCTGCTCACAGTTAAACAAATAAGTTCAGTTTAAGAATCCAGACATTTTACAGATGTGAAATTTTGGATGATAAACTGGTTCTTAGTTTGGTTTATGCTTGCTGTCATCTTGACTTTACTTACTCAGAAATATAACTTTATATGTGGAGATTATTCTTCACAGCGCAGCGTATTTAAGAATAAGGTAGATGCTGTTTGTTTCTTCAGTTAATCTTCATGTTTTCAGACCTGTGCTTGTCATTTCGCTGTACAGACATGCATTTCAGAAAGATTCAATATATAATGTGATAATATGTTTTACAATATGAGATATGTTCTGGAGTTAAGATCTATTCTCAGAAAGTGTCGGCCCCAACCTTTTACAACTACAAATAGAGAAAGGTCAAGAAACAACTTTCATGTAATATTTCTATGCAACATGTGTCACCTCCCACTCAGAGATGTCTGCAAATTCATTTTGAATGTGTCCTTAGAAAGAGCTTAATTATAACAGTGAAAATCATAAAATGTGTTTTTCCAAACATCATTTACAAAGAACTTCCGCAAAACAACATAAATGACATCACATTTTTAAAATAAGGCAAGCAAAATATAAAATATCAGAAAATAAAAACAATTAAAATTTAAGATAAAACAAGCAAGAAAATGGAATATCAACAACTCGGGCTCATGAAAATGCCAAAGAATAAAAAAGAATCTTAAGATTCTTTTTAAAAACTGCTGTTCTTATGCCATGAGGTAACTCATTCCACAATTTAGGGGGCCACAATCGAAGCCTGGTCACCCCTGTTTTTCAGCTTCAGTTTTGGAACTGCCAAAAATAATTGATCAGCAGATCTAGATTGTGAAGGCCTATAATAATGTAAGAGATCTATAATATAACTCAGGTATAGTCTGCGACACCTTAAAAGTTATTAAAAGACTCTTAAATTTGATTCTAAAATCTACAGGTAACCAGAACAAAGATGCCAGAACAGGTGTTTTATTGAGCAGTGTACAATTCTTCTCAAACCCTGAGCTTTCTGTTTTTGTTTCTCATAACTAGTTTTGATAAGGATGGCGATGTGCATTACCTAATCAAGTGGAGAGACCTGCCCTATGACCAGTGCACCTGGGAGGTGGATGATTTTGACATCCCAGAATATGACAGTCATAAAGCTTCTTACTGGGACCACAGGTTGGTTAACAGCATGTAGACGTTATTGTTGCTTTCTAGAGTTGTTCTTAATAGTGTGGAGATTACAGTGATTACAATGACTTGAGAAAATCCCTGGCACACAAGAATAAACAAAGACATCTGCTGCTGTTTCCCTTCTGCCCTGCTCTCTATCTGTGATGCCCCTGTTTGAGTCATTTGGCTCATCATGTTGCTGCAATTATTTCCCAGGGAGCAAATTTTAGGGGAAGACCAACGCCCCCTGGTGGTGCGGAAAGGAAAGAAACTCAAAGAGGACCATCCAAGGAGGGAGGTCCCTCCTGATGCTCCCATCATAGATGTAAGTGTCTGCATTTAGATGCATTCAGGTCACCGAGTTTCTCTAATTACCTGTTTCTTTCTGGGAATACAAAACTGTGCTATTACTGGCAGCTTGATGCAGTAGCTTTCTACAGTAATGCTCTAACAGGTAATACTGTGGGTGTTATGATTTAGTATGAAAAACATTATGTACTTTCATTCTCATACTATGTATGTAATTCCTATTTATACTGGGATAAATGATGCCCAAAGTGCTGAATCTAGCATGTGTAAATCCTCTACAAGATACTTCTGTGTTTCCATATCCCTAGCCAACCATCAAGTTTGAGCACCAGCCATGGTACATTAATGCCACTGGAGGAACACTGCACCCATACCAGCTGGAGGGCCTGAACTGGTTGAGGTTCTCCTGGGCTCAGGGCACAGATACAATTCTGGCTGATGAGATGGGCCTTGGAAAGACGGTGCAGACAATAGTGTTTCTCTACTCGCTTTATAAGGAGGTAAGGGTGAAAGAATGCCACATTATGCCAATATTACATAAGATATAACACATTTTGGCTCAATGCAAACAATATTAGAGCCATTCCCTGTAAAACAAATGCTAATGTAGACTGAAATTAAGGCTCAGTCTCACTTCACCCCTTGCCCTTGCCACTTCACCCTACCCCTCCGTTTTGCATACTTACATATAGTGGTGTCCTGATTCTCTTTAGCATGGAGGTGGTGGTGTGAAGTGGTAGAACTACACAGCCCTTCAAATGGAGGGTTTTCAGAGGCAGACTCAAAGCTGAGTGGGATGAGGCTACAGAACTACAACAAAAGTTATCTATAGTCAACACTACACACCTCAAACAAATCCACCAACTTCCCTGGAGTCTAATACTTATTCCTGTCCTTGGGGTTTTCTTATGTGCTGTTGAAAATTGCAAGGCAAGAAATCACCACAGCTGCAAACAATATTGTGTGGAAAAAAAAATTTTCCGACAACTTGTCGCATCTACTGATGACACATAGAGGTATTGAAGGGTTGTCCCATTTGACAGGGGAAGATTTCATCCATTACTCCATGTAAGTCTGTCTTGGGGGTTAACGCAAAAACAAAAGCACAGTCAAAATGTGCAAAAATAGTTAAGCTTAGACTCAGCCAATACTTTAAAAGCATATACAAGAGTAGTCAATAAGAGACTCAATTAAAACTTTAAAATCAGCTAGAGACACTGCTTGCCCAGTTTCAGAGCCTTTTGTAAACTATTCTGTCTGAGAGGAGCAAAGTATTTAAAGGTCTTTTCAAACTCTGTTCTGTATTTTGGAATTTCAAGACTTTTATGACATCTAGTAAAACAAGCCTGTCTAAGTTTCAGAAGTGATGTTAAATATGTTAATTGTTTTCCTCAAAGGGCTATAAACAATAAAACCTACAGTATATTGTCTTCCTGTGATGTGAATGTTGCTTAGTCCTGTCTTTCTTCTTTCCTCTCTCAGGGTCACTCTAAAGGGCCTTTCTTGGTGAGTGCACCTCTCTCCACTATCATCAACTGGGAAAGGGAATTTGAGATGTGGGCTCCAGATTTCTACGTGGTGACGTACACTGGGGACAAAGACAGCAGGGCGATCATCAGAGAGAATGAGTTCACCTTTGAAGACAGTGCAGTGAAATCAGGACGCAAAGTGTTTCGCATGAAGGTATGTCGTGCTCATCCAGCTATTCCACACCACATCCAGGTCAAACAGTGTTGTTGGGATGTTCTTTGCTCTTCCCCTCGCAGAAAGACACTCCTATCAAGTTCCATGTGCTGCTGACCTCTTATGAGCTGATCACTATAGATCAAGCCATTCTGGGATCCATCACCTGGGCCTGTCTGGTGGTGGATGAGGCCCATAGACTGAAGAACAACCAATCAAAGGTAGAACAGCCTTTGCTGCATTGATAGCATGTTTAAAGCTTCATTAGTGTTTAGAAGCCTTTAAGAAAACTTCTCATTTCTTGAGTACAATGTGTCTTGTCTGCCTATCCAGTTTTTCAGAATTCTCAACGGGTATAAGATCTATTACAAGCTGCTACTGACTGGGACTCCTCTTCAGAACAACCTGGAGGAGTTGTTCCATCTGCTTAACTTCCTCACCCCAGATCGCTTCAAGTAAATCCTACCTTATCTTTCTTAGTGCTTAGCCAGTGCATCGAATATCAGATAGGTCCCTCCTTGGATGGATGTATGGATATATAGATAGACCATAGTTATCTAAACTCAGAAAGCCGGGAAAGTTTTTTTTCTTTATTGTAGCTTAATTTTATTATGTAATTCTTCTTCATGTGACCTGTGCAGTAACCTGGAAGGCTTCTTGGAAGAGTTTGCTGATATTTCTAAAGAGGACCAGATCAAGAAGCTCCACGACCTGCTTGGCCCTCACATGCTCAGGAGACTGAAAGCTGATGTCTTCAAGAACATGCCTGCAAAGACGGAGCTGATTGTCAGAGTGGAGCTCAGCCCCATGCAGAAGTATGCCCCAGGATAAAAAAAAAACATTAATGGGATAGTAGTTGCAGCAGGCGTTGTTGTGTTCATTGCTGATAAAACCTAGCTACTAAATACAGTATACTATCAATAGTGGGGACTTCAGTTGCTCAAATGATCATCACACTTATAGTTCTAACTCGACAGCACTCAGAGAGCACAAACCTCCGCCAAGGCAGCTCAGTTTCCCCATAATGCCAGTACACCTAAAAGCATTATTCCCATGATAGTTTGACTCTCATGATATGATTCTTGGACCAGGAAGACCTACCCCCTGGCATTTGAAATCACATTTAAATCACTATTAATTGAAGGTTATTCAAGAAAAACAAAAGATCTAGCTCACTAACCTTTGAAGATATGTCAGATCTGTTGACACCCTACTGAGTCAACAGAGTTCTAGCTAGAATTTCATCTTAGTTGCAAGTCTGTAGCATTATTTGTTGTCAGTAGCTGCGTTTTCCACCAGCCCTATAAATGTGAACATCCTGGATCAGCAGATCCAAAATATTACTTGGACTCAGGTCACACAATGGTATATGGTAGATATGTGGATGTTATCTTGCAATTTTTGTCCAGACATTGTAGACCTTGTGTAAGGAGTTAGCAAAAATACTGAAATTGGTCCTATCTCACAATAGTGAAGAATCGTTAATGTCTAAAACCTTTACCTCCTTGGCGAAGGTAATAACTATATAACTGAGCTTTCATGAAAATAACAAAATATTTAAAAAAAAAATGGATGCTGAAGTATTTGTGTCTTGTAGATGGTATTTTGGCAAAGAATGATATAAGACTTGCAGTAACAGTGTTCTGAGGGCCTTATTTGTAAAAAGGGATTTTTATTTTTCAGTTTATTTTCAGTTTACAAACAACAAGAACACTACACTAGAAATAAAAAGCACAAACAAAAGCAAAAGGCTGCCAGACAGAGTGATGGTTAGGTGCATCTGACCCATAGTAATCATGCTCTGATTGCACATTCACAGCACTGTAATCTTTTGATGTCAGTGTATAGTGCCCTGGTCATCATGGGTTGGGGGTGATATGGCATTGAGTCAAGAAGGGCCCCCAGATTCTCTCATGTCCATTTTGGTTGCCGGACCTTTCCAGGCGAAAGCGTTCCATTTGTATCACAGACACCATTTGCTTTAGCCAATGTTCATAGCAGGGTGGGGTAGTGGATTTCCAAGTCAACAGTATAAGTTTTTTCGCAACCACCATCCCAAGCTGCAGAGCTGTCTGCACATCAAGACGTAAGTCCAAGAGCCTCTGTGGAGCATCCAAATATTGCCAGAGCATGAATAGGTTTCATGTCCCTGGAATAGCATTTAGAAAACTATTTGGAAATGGCAGACCAAAATCCAAACAATTGTGGACGAAACCAAAAGAGGTGAGCTAAAGAACCCTCTGCAGAATTGCATTTATCACATTGAGAGGACACTGATGGGAAGATCTGGCTCAGTTTTGTCTCTGAGTAGTGCAGCCTGTGAATTACCTTATACTGAATAGGTTTGTAGCGGGTATTAATGGAACAAGAATGAACCTGATTCATGGCTTTAAAGGGGATTTTTTTTTAAGTGGAAGTAAAAAAGTTCCACTTTACTTTGATCACTCATCATGACTGAATCTGACTTCTGTCCTCTGATCTTTAGGAAATATTACAAGTTTATTTTGACGCGGAATTTTGAGGCGCTGAACTCCAAAGGTGGAGGGAACCAAGTGTCGCTGCTAAACATTATGATGGATCTGAAGAAGTGCTGCAACCACCCCTACCTGTTCCCCGTGGCTGCCGTGGTAAGTCAGCAAATCGGTGTTCCCAGTACTGAAAACAGAATACGCCTATATAAGGGAAATGCTGTCGGCATCTGATGGTTTTGAAATATATACCTTATTGATCATGGGTATTAAAGGTATTTGTACATTTCTTCAGTCAATGCCTGAAATTGAGTTTTCTTTGCAGGAAGCGCCTGTATTACCCAACGGTTCTTATGACGGTAACCTCCTGGTTAAGTCCTCAGGAAAACTGACTCTGCTTCAGAAAATGCTGAAGAAACTCAAAGATGAAGGGCACAGAGTTCTCATTTTCTCTCAGGTAAAAGTCAAATAAACATTGCGCGTAGGCTGGAAGCCAAAGCTTTTATTGATCAGTAGCCATAAAACACAGCCTTTCCAGAGCCAATGTCAGTTGTAGGCAGTAAATCAGCTGATATTTCAGATATCCTTTTAAAGATCATTTTGAGTGAACGTGCAGTTTTAAAAATTGCAAATAACATGGTCCCAGCTACATAAATGTTTTATATTTACTTCTTTTTTTTTACAGATGACAAAGATGCTGGATCTCCTTGAGGATTTTCTGGAGTTTGAGGGTTATAAATATGAACGTATTGACGGAGGAATTACTGGAGGCCTAAGGCAGGAGGCCATTGATCGTTTCAATGGTGAGTTTGTTCATCCAGACTCTATCTGGACAAGTTTATGCGGATGCATGTCTCACATATTCACGTGCACACAAGCCGACTCTGCTTTGGTTTTTTTGTCACAGCACCAGGCGCTCAGCAGTTCTGCTTCTTGCTTTCAACACGAGCTGGAGGTCTAGGCATCAACCTTGCTAGTGCAGACACTGTCATCATCTACGACTCGGACTGGAATCCTCACAATGACATCCAAGTACTGGCACTTTTGTTACAGTGTGTGATTGAATTAGCTTTTAACCGGCACAGCTCTGATGCTGTGTCTTTAATTGCAGCTGTTTACTGGTATGGCATCCATGTCGCTTTCCTCACACTCCATCTTTCCACTCTCCCAGGCCTTTAGCAGAGCTCACCGTATAGGCCAAAACAAAAAGGTGATGATCTATCGTTTTGTGACACGAGGCTCAGTGGAGGAGCGAATCACTCAGGTGGCGAAGAGGAAGATGATGCTGACCCACCTGGTGGTGCGACCTGGCCTGGGCTCAAAAACTGGCTCCATGTCCAAACAAGAACTGGACGACATCCTCAAGTTTGGCACAGAGGAGCTTTTCAAAGATGAAATGGAGGCAGCACGAACCATGGGTATGTCAAAGAATCTACTTTGTTGACATCCCTGTGACAGTTTTTCTCCAAAACTTCAAACTAATGCTTGATCTTGATGCTTCTGTATCATTATAATGCTTCGCTTCATTATGAAGGCTTTGTTATTTCTTCTGTTTTCAGTAAGTTTCTGTTTATTTTGTCCCTTTCAGATTTAGAAAGGATATTATCTCTTGCACAGTTTGTGTTGAAACTGGTGGGAAGTACAGTAGTTAAACTGCTCCTGCAACTCTACATTTCCACAAGTCAGTGACTCAAGTAAAACAGAGTGAGGCTCATTTCAGAAAGGACATTAACAAAGCATTTCAACCTAACATGCCAGCAAATCCATATAATTCTGAGTTTCCCAGTAGTTTAAAAGTTTTCAGTTTAGGTTTAAAACACTTATCTGTAGCTTAAAGTTTCTGACATGGTCATACTGATGAAGAGCATCTCTTCAACAGGTGACAATAAAGATGGAGAGGAGGGCAACGTGATTCACTATGATGATGATGCCATCTCAAAGCTGCTGGACCGCAGCCAGGACGCCACTGAAGACACAGAGATTCAGAACATGAACGAGTACCTAAGCTCCTTCAAGGTGGCTCAGTATGTGGTGAAAGAAGAAGATGGAGAGGTGAGAATATACCCGTGTGCTTCAGCCTGATGAGTGAGGTCACACACATGAGAAAGTGACCAGCAGCTGGTTCTATAGCAGACTGGACATCTCATTTAAAATATGACTCTATATGATAAATACATATACTGAAGCCAAGGAGTTGCTTCGTTGTATTATAAAACCTGTGGTAAATAATTAGTGTAAGATACTGATTTTAATGATAAGAACAACTGTTGAGAAGACTTTAGTTTGGTTTAGCTAAAAAGGAGGGTTTGTACATAACAACAAAAAGAGGTTGGTGCAGTTCACTTAACATCGTTCTCTATATTAATTCTAACACATAACCAGTGCATGTGTGTTCAGGAGGAGGTGGAGCGGGAGATCATCAAGCAGGAGGAGAACGTGGATCCGGACTACTGGGAGAAACTCCTCCGCCACCACTACGAACAGCAGCAGGAGGATTTGGCTCGCAACCTGGGAAAAGGCAAACGCATCCGGAAACAGGTCAACTACAACGATACGACCCAGGAGGACCAAGGTAAGCTCTGTCAACAGACACATAGCGGTTGCCTCTCAGGGGCCTCATTCCTGGATTTGCGGTTCTTTATGCTTTCATCCTGATGAATCTTTAAAGTGTTAATCTTTATTATATTATTTATTGGCAGCATTTTGGATGCTGAAACTCAAGAAACCTTTTGAGATATTATATGGAAATAAACTGGAATTTACAGACCTGTAAAATAAAAGTGTTACCAAAGTGTTTACTAGCTGTACTACTAGCTGCCATGCTCTCACTTTAAAATGTTGGATTTGGTATTTCTGTGCACATTTAAGTAAGAGTAGAAATACACAAGAGCGCATAGGATGCAAAGTAAAAGACACAAGCTCACTATCCGACATCGTGGACAGGTGGACAAAAGCATACTGTGAAAAAAAAGAGATATAATTTTCTAAACAAACACCTCATCAGGTTCATGTTTGCGGTTTACTGTGTGGCTCTGTTTCTCGTCTTCCTCAAATGATTTTCCGGCAGTTGAGCCACTAGATGGTGTATTATTGCCTCCAACAGTCAATACTAAACATTGTGTTTTGAATTGGCATTCTGGGAGCTGTTGTCCATAATGACAACACACATGACCAAACAAATCAACACTGGGCAGATTACTTTAATGATTAACCCTACCGTTTGCTTCTGCTGTGGCTTATTCTCTGAGCTGAGCATGAAAGTAACACAGGTCTGTTTTGAGTAGCTTCTCCATGATAGCGTTTTATTGATGGATTTGAAAAACATGACTTTTGAAGATAGCATCAATCTGCTGCCATAACAGAAGCACGTTTGGTGATCTGCTGCCATAACAGAAGCACGTTTGCTGAGTGTAAGTATGTATCTAAATACATAGGCCAGGATGTCGCCCCTGAGTGCAACAATGAGAAAGTGCTGAGTTTCTGTTTATGGTTATGCTAACCCTGTAGAGAGGAGTGACACATCCTTTCTGCTGGCTGTAGTGCATGTCAACAAGGCTTACTTTCACCTGAGAATTGTGAATTGTGTCTAACAACCCAGTGAGCTAATTCACTAACACTATATCATCACATGCTTGGCTTCATTAATGAGTTAACAAGGTGACATGATCTTAACAAAGAATGATTTTGTTGTATCAGTTCAGACAAGAACAGATATTAAGTAACATGTACAGTATATTAAATCCTCTCGGGCTGTAGGTCCCAGAAAGAGCTGTTGACCCCCGATAAATCTGCCTCCATTAAAGAGTTTGTTATAGCCTACTGGTCTGGGCTTATCCCATGCATTTGTATAGTCTTCTCTGTGCGTTTGGAGTGCTTCTTTTTAATAGTTCTTTTAACTAGTTTCTGTCTATTGCCATTATATGTAAACTAGTCATACAGTGGCTTCAAGACCCTAATTTCCACAGTGTTTGGCTGTGAGAGTGTGACGGTTTTAAAATCCATCACAGCTTGAAGTACACTCTAAGTTTAAAGTGGTCTCACCTGGCTTCCAGGAGAGAGAGGTGGTACCATATGTGCATGCCCAGCTGTAGTGGTCTGTAGTAATCTGCAGTGCCATGGCGCCCTCAGGTGGCCACCAACAGAAGCGAATGCAATGTACTGTTTCTCTTTGATGTGTGGCTCAGAATGGCAGGATGATCTTTCAGACAATCAGTCGGAGTATTCTGTGGGGTCCGAGGACGAGGACGAAGATTTCGAGGAGAGGCCTGAAGGTAGGCAGTGAGAAAAACTGCTATAACTATTGTGTTGTTTTGGTTTGACAGTATAACACTTCTCTATCAGTGGAGATACTACATCAGACAAATAATTCTCTAAAATGATTACAATAATATTTGAATTTGCTCATGGTAAGACACAGGAAGAAGGATCCCTCATTATTTTTATTTTTATCTTAAGGCGGGCGCAGACAATCTCGTCGGCAGCTGAAGAGTGAGAAAGACAAACCTCTGCCACCCTTACTGGCACGAGTTGGGGGCAGTATTGAGGTATGAATTACAGGTTGTAGGTTCTTCATAGGATGCATCCTAAAATGGAGCTACAGTGCCTTGCGAAAGTATTCGGCCCCCTTGAGCTTTGCGACCTTTTGCCACATTTCAGGCTTCAAACATAAAGATATAAAACTGTAATTTTTTGTGAAGAATCAACAACAAGTGGGACACAATCATGAAGTGGAACGAAATTTATTGGATATGTCAAACTTTTTTAACAAATAAAAAACTGAAAAATTGGGCGTGCAAAATTATTCAGCCCCCTTAAGTTAATACTTTGTAGCGCCACCTTTTGCTGCGATTACAGCTGTAAGTCGCTTGGGGTATGTCTCTAACAGTTTTGCACATCAAGAGACTGAAATTTTTGCCCATTCCTCCTTGCAAAACAGCTCAAGCTCAGTGAGGTTGGATGGAGAGCGTTTGTGAACAGCAGTTGTCAGTTCTTTCCACAGATTCTCGATTGGATTCAGGTCTGGACTTTGACTTGGCCATTCTAACACCTGGATATGTTTATTTGTGAACCATTCCATTGTAGATTTGGCTTTATGTTTTGGATCATTGTCTTGTTGGAAGACAAATCTCCGTCCCAGTCTCAGGTCTGTTGCAGACTCCATCAGGTTTCCTTCCAGAATGGTCCTGTATTTGGCTCCATCCATCTTCCCATCAATTTTAACCATCTTCCCGGCCCCTGCTGAAGAAAAGCAGGCCCAAACCATGATGCTGCCACCACCATGTTTGACAGTGGGGATGGTGTGTTCAGGGTGATGAGCTGTGTTGCTTTTACGCCAAACATAACGTTTTGCATTGTTGCCAAAAAGTTCGATTTTGGTTTCATCTGACCAGAGCACCTTCTTCCACATGTTTGGTGTGTCTCCCAGGTGGCTTGTGGCAAACTTTAAACAACACTTTTTATGGATATCTTTAAGAAATGGCTTTCTTCTTGCCACTCTTCCATAAAGGCCAGATTTGTGCAGTATACGACTGATTGTTGTCCTATGGACAGAGTCTCCCACCTCAGCTGTAGATCTCTGCAGTTCATCCAGAGTGATCATGGGCCTCTTGGCTGCATCTCTGATCAGTCTTCTCCTTGTATGAGCTGAAAGTTTAGAGGGACGGCCAGGTCTTGGTAGATTTGCAGTGGTCTGATACTCCTTCCATTTCAATATTATCACTTGCACAGTGCTCCTTGGGATGTTTAAAGCTTGGGAAATCTTTTTGTATCCAAATCCGGCTTTAAACTTCTCCACAACAGTATCTCGGACCTGCCTGGTGTGTTCCTTGTTCTTCATGATGCTCTCTGCGCTTTAAACAGACCTCTGAGACTATCACAGTGCAGGTGCATTTATACGGAGACTTGATTACACACAGGTGGATTCTATTTATCATCATTAGTCATTTAGGTCAACATTGGATCATTCAGAGATCCTCACTGAACTTCTGGAGAGAGTTTGCTGCACTGAAAGTAAAGGGGCTGAATAATTTTGCACGCCCAATTTTTCAGTTTTTTATTTGTTAAAAAAGTTTGAAATATCCAATAAATTTCGTTCCACTTCATGATTGTGTCCCACTTGTTGTTGATTCTTCACAAAAAATTATAGTTTTATATCTTTATGTTTGAAGCCTGAAATGTGGCAAAAGGTCGCAAAGTTCAAGGGGGCCGAATACTTTCGCAAGGCACTGTATGTACTTTGGTTACTAATAATGTGCTTTAATGTATATGAGTGAGTAGAATGTGTCCACAGACATACAGGTGGTTTCTGAAGCTGCTCACTTTGTGCCGTTTTCTTGCTGCTCAGCTCTTCTTCTAGATATGTTTGCACAACTTTCTGTCTAAAGCTGTTTCATTTAATTAAAAGGTCCTGGGGTTCAACGCTCGCCAGAGGAAAGCCTTCCTCAATGCAATCATGCGTTGGGGCATGCCTCCTCAGGATGCTTTCAACTCCCATTGGCTGGTTAGGGACCTGAGAGGGAAGAGTGAGCGCGAGTTCAGGTAATACCCTAATAATATAATAATTTATAGTTAAACTGTGATACACCAAGTCATTTCATCTGACCTCTGATTAACTATAATTCTCTTTTCACACACTACATTTTTTTTGTCAAGTGCTGCTTGCCAGCAAGTTAAGGGCTTTTATGAGCTCCTCACAGTCAGGTGGTTTATTCCCAGGCAAAGCTGCAGAACACTCGTGTCAACGAGGTCGGCCTTGCAGGTTTCACGGTTACTGCACTTAGTACTGCACCTGGGCCAAAGATTACATAAATAAATACTCAGTTTGCAAGTTGTATTTGTTATTTCTAAAGTATCTGCACTGCCCCTACTACACTACTACAGTTACTAGAGCTGTGGCTTTTTTAACTACTATTAGGACTAATATACCTCCTTCAGTGCTGCTTCCACAACTGACACTACTAGTACCACTGCTATTACTGCTACTATTAGTGTATTTGATCTTTCCACTACTTCTACTAAAACTGTAATTATACAGGATTAAAATTATTCTTCATACTGCCAAAAACAGAATACTGGCAGTGAAATACTAGGCTGCATCCTATATAAAGTATTTTGTTTGGGTCAAAAGTAGTCAAATTTGAATATACTAAAACTAAAAATACAGTATTGCAGTCACTTTATAAAATACTCACCATTTGTGGGGGAGGCTGTGGTTTAGGAGGTAGAGCGGGTCGATTCCTGATCAGAGGATTAGCGGTTCGATTTCCAGCATGTCCAGTCAACATGTCGAAGTGTCCTTGAGCAAGACACTGAACCCCCAGTTGCTCCTGGTGATAACACCGGTGAGAGAATGGCCAAGTAGTGTGAAAACGCTTTGAGTGTGCTGTAAAGCATAGAAAAGCACTATACAAGTATAAGACCATTTGCAAGTTCCCTGACTATTTCTTACTACCATCACTCCCAACACTACCATGCCTGTTGATAGTATTATGTCACTACTTTTACTTCTGTTACAGCTAATAATAGTATTTGTAAAGCCACTATTAGTTCTCATTCTAATACTATTACCCCTGCTGCTAATGCTACAAGTGTTTCTCACTTGTTGCTACTGCTGTTGCTTTTATCAGGGTTACTATCTCCAAAGTTGTTGACAGCACTTTAAATAATGGTGGGAACATCATAGAATGTGTTTTTTTTTCTTTATCAGGGCCTATGTGTCTTTGTTCATGAGACATCTTTGTGAGCCTGGGGCAGATGGAGCAGAGACCTTCGCTGACGGAGTCCCACGTGAGGGGCTGTCTCGTCAGCATGTTCTCACCAGGATTGGAGTCATGTCCCTTGTCAGGAAAAAGGTAGCTACTGTTTATTCAAGCAGAGACAGCTTCAGTGCGGAATACCAGCTCTTTCACTTGTAGCACTGTGAGATTAGAAAAAGTAGGTCAGGCTGTTCAGGCACAGGCAAATACAGGCAGGAGGAAATTGTATACTCTCTGGATCCCTTCCTCTTTCACACATCGTACAAGCCATAATTTAGATGCTTTGTTTGCTTTTCACTATGCATGCACCTAGATAATGAAAGAGATTCACAGGCAATTTCTGAAGTCTGAGCCCCTGAGATTTCTACATTTTTGTGTAATGTCCTTATTAACCATTAGCTGCTAGCTAACTATTGATTTACTAAATCAGGGTACACCATTTCAAACTTCCTGAATGGCTTGTAGTACAGCTACTAAACGCTTTGGTAACACTTTTATTTTACAGGTCTGTAAATTCCAGTTTATTTCCATCTAATATCTCAAAAGTTTCTTCTACCATATAATTTGGTACTATTTGCAGTTAAAAATAGAGAGTGTACACTTCTAGTTATTGCTAAATGCTAAGCTAGCACAAAGTGGAGGCTTTTATTCAGAGGACAGAAGGTGAACCACACATTCAAAGTGTGAAATTTGTCTGCAAACAACCATTCAGTTCAGCATAAATAAATGAATAGCAAATAAGTGAGGTTTAAACTGAGCAATTTCTTTCATGTAAATTAATCTGGAAGCCAAAAATAAACTAAAATCAGTGGACGAACTAAAAAACTTTCTCTAATTGGTACCAAGCTACATGGTTTTTTACAGCAAACTTTCAAGAAATTATTTGGAAACAGGGGACCAGTAAAATAAGGTGTTACTAAGGCTTTATGTTTTCTAATTTGAGGATTTGTGTTTTTAATGTTTTTGTGATTTTCAATGTATGTAAAATATTAAAACTAAAATTTAAAACTAAAATTGAGGGCTGCATCTAACTTATTTTGATTGTTGGTTAACGTACCAATAATTTTGTCAGTCAATCAATTAATTGTTTAGTCAGTAAAATAGCAACTTATAATAGCAAAATGGCAACTTTGCAGATCCAAAGGCAACATCATCAAATGTCTCATGTTTTTTGACCGAGTCCAAAATCTAAAAATGTTAGTGCTCTTTGCCCAGAGGGGGAAAAAGCAATTCAGATCAGATCAGCGAATGTGTTGCATTTTTTCAGTGTTTAACATTAATGGGTTGTCAAAGTAGTGGCCAAATGTTTTTCAGTGGCTCAACCAATCATTTACTGGACTAATGGCCTGAGCTCTACTACATTTATATTATAACAAGGCAAAGTTTGAATTTAAGAAATGTTGGTGATTTAGTACACATGTACTTTACTATAGAGCTCTTCCTTATCCCACATTTAAGGAAAGTAGGCCATCCAAAGGAAGTGTAGGAGTTTCAGTTTATTCCAGCTGAACCAGTTTCTTCTTTATAGGTGCAAGAGTTTGAGCATGTAAATGGGAAGCTGAGCTCCCCAGATCTGATTCCCATTGGAATGGAGCTGAAGAAACTGACCGAGAGTGTGTCCTCTGATCCCAACACCCCTGTGCCAGCCAGCCCTGTCGCGACGCAGCCTGGCACCCCGGTCCCACCAGGTCAGAGACAAGTGTCTGCGCTGATCATGTTTTATTTTTCTCTCACTGGAAAGCAAAATTTATACTCTGAAAAAAAAAGTTTTGGAAAAAAGAAAGTTTGAGCTGTTATTGCTTTCTGGACTGCAGAGAAGACAGAGTGTCTCTCGGGTATGGCTGAGGACAAGGAGACCACAGAACAAGAGAACAAGAAACTGTCAGAGCAAGAAGTGAGTCTTGTTTTTCCTCCACTACACATCACTTTGATTCTGTCCTCCTTCTTCTTGTGGCTCATAACACATAAACGATAACTCTTCATCTCATCTTATTATCTTTAGAAGATTCTTCTGTCAAACCTGGACAACTTTCAACTTGTCATTCTCTGCCCTCCACCACCTTCCCTCTTTCTCCTCTCATTACCCTGTCTGTTTATTCCTCGGCAGACCTTGGGTGCAGAGCCAGCATCTGCACCTGAGAAGGTGGCTGACAATGAAGAGAGCAAGGCCAGCTCAGAGGAGAAAACAGGAGATGAGAGGGATAGAACCGAGTCGCCCCCCACAAAGACGGAGCCATCTGCCAATCCTAAAGAGTCCGCTTTGAAACAGACAGAGCTGTCATCCAGTCAAACCTCACCGAAAAGTGAGTGCTCCTGCAAGTCTTGGTTTTCTACAAGGTTGTACTGTGTTTAATTAAATATTTATTGTTTCTGGTTTCCTCAGTGGAGCCCTATAAAGAAATGGAGAAGTCGTCAGAAAAAGGAGATAACGGTTCTCCTCTGACAAAAACTGAAGACAAGGAAAATAAGCCAGGTATACATGATCTGAATCCTTAAATGAAACAGTGCAGTACAATGGCACAAGAACTCTTCTTCAGAAAGCAAAGCACTCTTTAGTGATCATCCATTTTATAGACATTTCTTTTAAGAAACAGTTCTGTCATTTATCTAGCTGTTACTGATGATGTAAAGAGTGAAGATACATTAGAGGGTCGATTAAATGGAGACAAAGACACTTTGGATGAGATGGATGAGAGCAGAAAGGAGGACAGAAACGGCTTCAAGACCAAGTTCATGTTTAATATCGCTGATGGAGGTTTTACAGGTAAGAATAAATCTGACCATGTCTTTATCTTAAATGAACCAAGCACAGAACAATAAGACCAAACAAGTGTCACATGTGTGCTATAAAAATGAAGGAGGAATGAGATGTGTCTTAAGTAAATCATTTCCTCTCAGAAGGCAAAATTTGCAGGAGATCAGGGAGGTTTCATTAGTTCATACTGAACCCAGGTCTGTTTATCAAACAGAATACTAATATAAAGTTCAAATATGGTATGTTATTAATTGTTACTGACTCATTTCCATGATATTTTTGTAATATTGTGCAGCTCTGTTATTTGGTGAATAATGAGAAGGCTTTGTGCTGGTTTTACTGGGAAGTGGTTTTAGTTTCTGTCCTACAACTGGAAGCCCTATATCTAAATAAAACTTTGATTTTGTGACTTAAAGTTGCCCTGTAGTTTAATATCATCTGCATCATATCTGTCATATCATTAGGTGATTTCTGTCCTTCTGTCCAAATTCAGTGGAACAGAAGGGATGTATGTTTACACCGACCGGACTTGGTTTAATGCCTTAATAAAATTTACGCTCGGGTGTGCTATAATGAAGTAGCTTTGTTTTGTCATCAGTCTTGTTTGTATTGTCTATCTCTTAAATGCTGGAAACATCTTGAATATTGCTTTTTTATTTCTGTAAAACTGTCTGTCTTTATGTATATGCTGTCAGAGTTGCACACCCTGTGGCAAACTGAAGAGCGAGCGGCGCTGTCTTCTGGAAAGATGCATGACATCTGGCATCGTCGCCATGACTACTGGCTGTTGGCTGGCATCGTAACGTACCCTTTCCCAGATGTAGGAGTAGGAAGTGCAGCATGGGGCAAAGTAATGTAATCACTTATGACCGGGAGAAACTGCGGTTGAAAGGCTGATAGTTACAAACTGGTAGTGTGTGATATAAATCTGTGCTTTTCACAAAACCGTTTTATTTTATTTGAAGAATTTTATGATGTTCTCTGCTCCTGTTTATTTCCTTAACTGGGAATCTATCTCAGACATGGTTATGCTCGCTGGCAGGACATTCAGAATGACCCACGTTATGCTATTCTGAATGAGCCCTTCAAGACTGAGATGCATAAGGGCAACTACCTAGAGATGAAGAACAAGTTCCTCGCTCGGCGTTTTAAGGCAATCCTGAAGTCTTTACAATTAAAACTACTGAAGGCTGAAATAATTCAAGAATGATTTGTTATAGCTGAGTGCAAACTGAAACTGTCTCTTAAATCCCTCTGACTGTGTTTCATTCACTCTCTGCAGTTGTTGGAGCAAGCTCTGGTTATTGAGGAGCAGCTGAGGCGGGCAGCTTACCTGAATATGACCCAGGACCCCAGTCACCCGGCCATGGCTCTCAACGCTCGTTTCACTGAGGTGGAATGTCTGGCAGAGTCCCACCAGCACCTGTCCAAAGAGTCTCTGGCTGGGAACAAGCCTGCCAATGCTGTGCTGCACAAAGGTCTGCAGTCTAGTGTCATAACTGTCAGTGTCTGGCTCATCTGCCAAAGGCTGGCAAAGTAGGAAAGTAATCCTGTACAAACTGCTTTTATAGGGCAAAATGACTCATAAATCAGAATCAGAATCTGCTTTATTTATATTATTATATACGAGGAATTTAACTCTGGTACATCGGCTCTCAAATCTTTCATGAGATGCTTGTCAGCCCACTGCTCATCTCTGATGTGCTGTGTGTAAATTCAGGCTGTACACAACTTTTCAAAGTCATAACTCAGTCATTCCTGAAAGGTATAGCTGGTGTTCCTGGAAAAACTACCGAGAGGAAGCTCAACACTGAAAGTAGCCAAATGAAGAAATCCCAGCCTTTTGTTCTGATTCCAAAGCCACTCCTCCAATACACTATGCACACGGCTACGTGCACTGCCTGACCACTTACAGATTTCAGGATAATAACAAATCCCTCCAAACAAAACAAAACCAATAATTACCTGTCCAGCAGAAATATGACACCATGGTGTCACTGTTCAGCCGCTTGGGTTCTCAGTTGTCACCATCTTTCAAAAGCTGCATCAGTGTTAAATCTGGTTTTACTTCTTGCAGCATCCAGCTTCTTATTAGTGCTAACTTTCTCAGATACAGTCTCTGTTTGTGGCTGAAAGCTGCTGTGGGTACCTTCTCTGCCATAGCTCGTGAGCTTTAGCTATAAAAACTGAGCAATGACACATCTGTCTGGCCTTGTGGGAGACTCTTGCTTCATGCAGTGAGTACAAGGGCAGAGTGCGTGCAAGTAGGAAGTTAGGTTGACAGACAGCTAGGTCATCCAATGGTTTAGCTCAGCCCGAGCAAAATTACTGCTCAGGCTTTTTTCAGCCCTGCTGCTGCCAGAGATGATGGATTTTTTAAAAATCATTGCATTAAATGTATTCATTGGCATTGGGATGTACAAAATGCTTCTGAAATGAATCACCGACACTACCTTTAAATCTCCTAAAATCCATCTAGAATCATCAATGTTTCACTATTCAAAAAACATATTGTATTTATGTTTTATGTTTTATCAGCCCGAGCAAAATTACTGCTCAGGCAGACAGTTTCAACCTGTTTTTAATCCAACAGCAACTTGTTATAAAAATCATATTTATTTTTTTATGCTGACAGTTAACCTGCTTGCTCTTGTTTTGGACCTTCTGTAGTAAATTCCTTCAAACAAGAGCATTTCAGTTGGGAACAGACAGTATAGTTCACAAAATGAAGTGCATACAGATGTTTCCCCACCACTGCTATGTGTAGAGCTTATAACAGCAGTGTTTCTGATCCTGTCTGGCACAGCAGCTTCGCTTTTTATTAATATGACTTGCAGGCAAAACATGCTTACAGTGCTAAGTAGCATGAAAGTTTGGGAAGTGGCCAAGACCAAAGACTGTATTAAACTGAGGTGTAATAATGTTATCATTTGAAAATTCTCTTCCCCGTGACCCTCATTGATTTATCCACCAGTGAAAAATTATATGGCATTTAGTTCTTGGCAGTTCTTAATTTCAGGCCCTGAATCACACAATTAATTTGCTTTTTTAATTATTTGAAGTTGCTCGCACTAATTTTGAACAATTTTTAAAAGTTTTTCATGCGTCTTCCCTGCATTTTGTCTCCCTTAACTTTGTCTTGCTAATAGCTACTACATGTGCAGGAATGAAACGACTGTTTGATTGATTGATTGATTTTATTCTTTTAAGCATGTAAAGACAGTCGATATGTCAGCACACATAGTTTCACACATATCCACAAATGCTAATCCAATATCAATTTGCTTATACCTAGTACATGCTTGAACGGAGTAGGAAGAAGTTAGACTTATCCAGTCCTACCCCATGACATCATCTTACCAACATTGGTTTGCAAGCAGTATCTCTACATAGAT